TTATGCTTGGTTTCAAATTGGCCAAAGTGTGCACTTCTTCTCCAGCCTCATCAGAGCCTTTTTTACTGTCTGGTGTTTCCAATTTGCCGAGTCATCCAAGAAAATCAAAAAGATTAATGTCATTTCTGCACACAAAAACATTTCGTCTTCACATATCTTTGCCTATGCTCTAATTTGATGAGCTGGATACCCGAACTGCGCCCGTCTGTATTTCATACTACACAATCACAAGTCTCATTTAAACAAAGTCGCTATTAGGTCATATATTGATGGTTCTCACTCACTAAGAGCTAATGAAAGCAGTTATCAAAATATCTGGTGTACCTTGTCTTACTTGGCGTCGTTCTGATGGGGCAAGCAGACTGTACAAATGATTGACATCTTTCAGTTCCCGCTATTCCAAAGGCCGTTCGAGTGACAAATGCAGTGGAACCTCGCGCTGTGGACGTCATATGGCAATACGAAAGTCTTTGCAATGCTCATATGTTTCGCGTCGACTTGCATACAGAAGACGGACTATCCTTCAGAACACTCGAATCAAGAGGTCGTCGCAGGAGGATCACCGACCTCCCGACTTGTGTCACTATGTATGCAAGTGTGCGTGGACGCAATGAATTTGGCTTCGGTACGCAAAAGGATTCGTTAGACTTCGTCATACAATCAGGTAGCTTTGCAATGCCAACTATCTTTTACTTTACTGCCTAATTTCAAAGTACAGAAGCATCTTCGTTGATCCAACTTAAATTGTTCTGAGCGCAAAGCATTGGCTTCTAAACTGAAGAGCCTTGAGTGTGTGGCCCTAAGTAGTGAAAGTGCCGGCTAATTCTGTAGTGCGGATCATCATAGATTTGGAGCTCATTCGAAGGTGTACGTCCCTGTCATTGCACAGCATACAATTTAGCGCTTCAATGAAGCCACAAATTTTAAAACAATAAGCAACGGTTCTTTAGACGAAATATGAAAGGTCAACCAAGAACCTATAAGTCTGACACCGTCGGCTAAGTCGTCACCCAAGTACCACAAAACTACCTCAGTAACTCAAGTAGTTCACAAAAGAAACGTTTATCATTTATACCTATGCAAAACGACCAGTAGATATAGACGTACTCAATACTTTGGTAACATGAAACGGTAACAACTACCGAGGTTCGTCACATTCGAGCAATTCCGATTCGTCGGCCGCAGAACTTTCGGCACACGCAGAAAGCAGTCACAAATTCTAATTCAACGCTCTCATAGATCACGCTTCTTCACGATTGGTATCTGCCACAGAAGTGCCCATAAGTCTCGGCGAATAAAGAAATTAACCAAAGACATGTTTACTCCGTGATTACAAGGCCAGCGTCGATACGCGAAGGTATTGCAGCGATGTTCAAATAGTATGAATGCCCGATCAACGAGGTTACATAAGCCACATTAAATTAGGTGTGCACAAATAACGCCTCCAAATTCTGCAAATAAGCAAATAAAAAAAACCTGCGAAGATCAAGTTAAAATGAGATGTCAAAGATTTCCAGAGTATTTACTCACCGAAAAATATCATAAAAACATAAAGAGAAATTCACGAAGAAAAAAGACGAAGACGCCTAGAAATGAAACTGAGAATATGGGGACAAACCCTCAAAAAAAATGAAGTCAGATATTAGGACGCAGCTAAACGGGTGAGAGTTTTGTCACACATT